AGGAATTATCTAAGAAGTATGAATCCTTTACCCATGTTGGCATAAATGGTTTTTGAGAATTTTGAGTTGTCTGAACTCATCCCCATATCACTGCTCAATACTACTCCCAATTATATATAACTCATGCTCATATGTTTAAAAATATAATTCTTCCTCAATTTGAAATAAGTACTCAAAAGATTTTCTTAAAAGAGATAATACTGAAAAACTACTCATGAACTTATATGGAAATCAAGGCTTCCTCTCGTTTTAAATGTAAAAGTATTTGCACTTGGAAATACTTAGTTCCCTTAATACTAATTTTGAAATATGCACTCAACTCTCCTCATCCTCTTACTCATTCACTCCAGTCTTAAAATAAGTTTTAGAAGATTGTACCAGACTAAATGACTCAAAAAAGTTTCTCAAACTTTACTCTTAATCTTTACTTAAATTTGAAATGAAGATTTAAGAGTTATGATTAGGATATATAGGAACTCTCAATGATTAATGAAGACTTATATAGTTAGTATTGAGAAGAGAGCAAAGAAATGATTTGAAAGAACTCATACAGGACGAATCAAGGAGAAGAAAGGGGTCTGATGACCCTGGCGTGCCTCAAACTACTGAAGGTAGTTTGGGGTGCACTGCGCTGGCCCCAAACTACTGAACAATAGTTTGGGCGCACTGCTAGTGCGGCTCCCACCCCCTACCCAGATTATGGATGAATTTTTTTTGCTCAATTCAAGGCTTAACTCATCAAGAATCGATTGGTTTACTCCCAAACTCGTTAGATTCAGAAACCCAACAAAATTCAATGAAAACCTACTAAAATTACATCAAGAACATCACTCATTCGCAAAACCCTCACCTCAAAAACTCAGCAAGACTCCATTGTTAAAGAATGAAGCAAAACCTAAAGGACTCCTCAAGAACCTCAATATACACAATCTCATGGAAAAATTCATAATTGAAATCTCATGATTGGCGTGAGGGTGAAAAAATCCATCACCATGAAACTCACATACCTCGAAAGAACTATGTTGTTGGCGAAAATCCTAAAAGCTTGCAAGAATCTTGAACGTTCTTCCTTTTCTCCTATTGAACTTCTCTCTAAAAAAATTCTATGCTATTTTGGAATGATTAAAACTGGTTACAACCAGTTTAGACCCCTAAAAGGGTGAAAACAAACTTGCTAGGCTAGTGGGGTAAGGAAATGACCAAAATACCCCTCCTTAAAATGGATGAATTTCCTTAACTAGATAGGTTGCACTTAAACGGGAAAATCTCCTTTAATCAAACTTGGAATTTTGCAAACTCAATGGCGTTGGAAAGAGGACTCAACGGCCATCAATTTGATACCTCTCGGGTCACCTAACTCATCTTATGCTCAAAGTTATGGGCGTTTGAAGTTGACCTAAAACTTACAATTGAAGAGTAACTTGTACGAATCTCAATTTAGCTCTTTCAAAGTCCGAGGTGTTATAATAACTCCCCCTTGAGAACATTCTTCCTCGAATGAGATTAATCTAAGTAGAACAGGGTGTGGGAAAACATCTAATACCGAACTCAAACACCCAACATGCAATTCATATAACTTAGCATATCACTTTAAAGAATACCAAGAAAAGAGTTAATACCTTAGTTTGGAATTTTTCCGGAAGCAAAGAGATGTGGGTATCTCTTCTTCATATCCTCCTCGGCCTCCCAAGTAGCTTCCTTAACAAATTGATTCCTCGATAAGACCTTGACTATTGCAACCTTCTTGGTTCTCAACTTGCAAACCTGACGATCAAGAATCTGAACAGGTATATCCTCATAATATATGTTTCGTTTATACCAATATTCTCAGTAGGTATGAGAAGTGAAGGATCGCTCATACACTTCTTCAATATAGAAATGTGAAATACCAGATGGACTGTTGCTAACTCTGACGGTAACTCTAGCTTATAAGCTACATTACAAATTCACTTGGATATCCTTTAAGGACCAATATATCTGGGATTGAGTTTCCCCTTCTTGCCAATCTCATAACAGCCTTCATGGGTGAAACCTTCAAGTAAACCCAATCATCTACCTCAAACTCCAAGTCTCTTCTCCTAACATCTATATAGGACTTTTGACGACTTTGCACTGTTTTCAACCTTTCTTGAATGATCTTCACTTTCTCCATAGCTTGATGAACCAAGTTTAGTCCTATCAGCCCAGTTTCACCAACCTCAAATCATCTAATAGGAGATCTACATCTTCGCCCATAAAGAGCCTCATAGGTAGCCATCTGGATACTAGAGTGATAGCTATTGTTGTAAGAAAACTCTATGAGAGGTAAGTGATCATCCTAATTATCTTAGAAATCGATCACACAAGCCCTCAACATATCTTCTAAAGTCTGAATCGTATGCTCTGCTTGAGCTTACTTCTGAGGATGGAAAACATTACTCAAATTGACCTTTGCACCCAAACCTACTTCCAAAATTGTTCGGTGAATGGTGCACCTGTATCTGAAATGATAGACACAAGGACTCCATGAAGTTTGACTATCTCTTGAATATATAGCTTGTCGTAATCTTCTGCCAAAAAGGTAGTCTTTACCGGCAAGAAATGGGCTGATGTAGTCATCCGCTCTACAATCACAAAAATTGAATCATGCTGCCTGCGAGATCACTGCAACCTAGTAATGAAATAATACATATTGATCATCTGCCACTTCAATACCGGAAGATCTTTGTTTTGAGCCAACCACCGGGTCTTTGGTGTTCTACCTTGAATTTTTAGTAATTCAGGCACTTAGTGAAGAACTTTGCAATACACCTCTATATACTACTCCACCAATAGACTTCTCTCAAGTCACGGTACATCTTTTTGGAACATTGATGGATAAAATGTCTGGAACTGTGAGCCTCTGCCATGATCCTCTCTTGGAGCTCATCAACCTTTGGTACACATAATCTACTTTGATATCTCAACACACCATATTCCCCTTGTTCAAAAGTCATCACTTTCTACTTATGAACATTTACCTTTAGCTCAAGCAATATCATTTCTTGGTCTTGTTTCTCCTTCACTTCAGACACTAGTGATTATTCAGCTCCATTCATCAGCACAACTCCACCTTCGCTGGAATCCAATAGACGGACCCCCAATCGGGAAAGTCTATGAACTTCTTTAGCCAATTCTTTCTTGTCTTCCTCAACATGAGTCGTACTACCCATAGATAATCCGCTAAAAGTGTCAGCAACAACATTAGTCTTACTTGGGTGATAGAGAATACTCATTTCATAATCCTTGAGCAACTCCAGCCACCTCCTCTGTTTGAGATTAAGCTCTTTTTGACTGAAAGCAAATACTACTGCTGCCAACTCAAGATCATGAGTCGGGTAATTATTCTCATGAATCTTAAGTTGTCTAGAGGCATAGGCTATAACCTTACCATTCTTCATCAATACAGAACGAAGTCCAACTCTGGACGCATTACAATAAACAACAAAGCCTTGCGTACCTTCTAGTAGGGTCAACACTAGGGCAGTAGTCAACTGAGTTTTCAATACCTGAAAGCTTTTCTCACAAACTTCAGACTATTAAAACTTCACTGCCTTCTTAGACAATATTTTCAACGGGAAAGAAATAGATGAAAACCCCTAGACAAAACTTCTATAATAACCACTCAATCCCAAGAAACTCCTTATATCAGTTGGAGATATGGGTTTGGTCTAGTTCTGAACTACTTCAATCTTTTGAGTGTCAACTCGAATCCCTTCTCGAGATACAATGGCCTAAGAATGCCACAGACTCAAGTCAAAACTCACACTTGGAAAATTTGGCATACAACTCTCTATCTCTGAGAGTTTTGAGAGCTACTCTGAGATAACTAGCATGATCCTCCTCATTTCTCGAATAAATTAGAATGTCATTAATAAACACGATAACAAACATGTGAATATATGGCTGAAAAACTCCATTCATAAGGTCCATGAATGTTGCAGGAGCATTAGTCAAGCAAAAGGACATAACAAGAAACTCATAGTAACCATAATGGGTCCTGAGTGCTATATTCGGGGTTTCACTTTCCCTTACTCTTAACTGATGATAGCCAGATCTGAGGTCTATCTTAGAAAAACAAGTGGAACCCTGGAGTTGATAAAAAAGATCATCAATGCTCGGAAGAGGATACTTATTCTTTATGTTGACCTTGTTCAACTGGCGGTAATCAACACATCCTAAGAGAACTATTTTTCTTCCTTACAAATAAGACTGGAGTGCCCCTAAGGTGAGAAACTAGGTCGAATAAAACCTTTATCAAGAAGATCTTTCAACTTCTCTTTTAACTCTTTTAACTTAGCTACAACTATTCTATATGGCGGAATGGGGATAGGTCGAGTATTACAAAAAATATCTATGCCGAAGTTGATTTCTCTTAGGAGGGACTCTAAGAAGTTCATCGATAAAAACCTCTGGAAACTCACTCACAACTGGAACTGACTTAATAGGCATTCAGATGGCCCCTTGTTCCACACTACCCTAAGATGAGTAGGTTGAGCTCTAAAGTTCTACGAATTCTGATTCTTGAACTCACCTCTGTTCTTTGGTGCAGTTGCACTAGTAGATGATGGAGTAGGCCCAACTGGCCTTTGCTCAAAGGATGGCCGGTTTGCATGTTCGGCCTTTTGTTGTATGGACTCATTACCTGATGTCATGGCCCTCTTATTATGAAACTCTTCCCTATATTTCAACTTGTCTTCCTCAACCTACTGCACATGGATCATAAGTTTTGCTATTTCCATGTACCCTATCAACATAGTAGCCTTACCCTATTTGCTTGACAAGCAGGATAGTCCAGACACAAAAAGACTCATCATGCTCCTCATATCAACAATCATCTACGGAGCATAACGGGATAATTGAGTGAACTTGAGGTTGTACTCATGCACACTCATGGACTCTTGTTTAAGAGTGAAGAATTCTCTTACATTTTCTCTCTAAGCTCGCAGGGTAAGAAACTCCCTATGAAGGCATTTTCAAACTCAGTCCAGCTCATAATTAGTGGCCCTTTTAGCCCTGCTCTTTTTCCATTGGTCGTACCAAATTATAGCAACACCATTGAGTTGGAATGAAGGTAACTCCACATGCTCAGTATCGGTAGCACTCATAACCAAAAACACAAAGTTTACTGGATTTTCAGTAACATTTGACCCTGTGAAATATGGAGGATTTATTATCAAAAACTTATGGATCCTAGATGTATCAGCCACGTCCTGACGAGCCCTTCTTTGTTGATAGCATCCTGAAACTCAACATTTGTGACCTCTTCTGGAGAAGGTTGAACTTCTGATCCATTGGGAACCCCTTGATCCCCGACATCAAATCTTTTCCTAGAATGACGTCCTCAAACAACTCTTCGTGGAGGCATGATCTAAAAAGATACGTGCAGGCATAAATTAGTAGGAAATTTTTATAGAGTATCGCACGAAAGAGAGTAAGAAGGAAGTGAAATGTTTCCTAAATGTTGTATCCTCCTAATTATATATGTGGAGCGCTTCACACCGATAACCAGGACTCTATAGACACAACTTCATAGACACCCTAAAACTCTTGAACTTCGTGCTCTAATACAAAGTTTGTCACGCCCAAATCTAGACCCTAGACGTGGCCGACACTCAAGAATCATTGCTGGTCCCTAAGTGAACCCTTGTCTTGGCTCATTACTCAGTGGGAGAATTACGCAAGTGAAATAGGAACCACAAATGCATAACTCAATTCATAACTCATCATTAATGAAAATATTTTAACTCAAATCTAGCTAAAATACTCAAATAAACATAAGCGTTCAACTCAAAGTCTTTAAAACATCACAAGGGAAATGGGAAGAGACTCCTAAACTACTATTGTCTATGATGCATCTAAATACTATGATGGAAGTCAGGACAAGAACCACAACATACTAACAAAACAAAATACGAAATGTGAAGTCCTCCGGAAAGAAATGGGGCTCACCAAAGCTAGTTGGAATATGATGGGATCAACGAAGCACCGGTTGATGATCCTGAATACCTGTATCTACATTATGAAATGATGCAGGTCAAATGGCGTCACTACATTGAATGAACGAGCATGCAAATGGAAAACTGAACATGGGGATACACAGCTGAACTGATAGAAAGGGAAACATACTCTCCTCAACTCATCTCACTATGTATGCAACAATAAGAGATGCGATATGCGATATATATATATATATAAAGCTTTTAAAACAGTAGATAATAACTCAATGTATATAAAAAATACAATAATAAATTCTTTACTCGTATTTGGTAGATTCTCTAACTGACAACTGTCACTATGAGTTGCGTGATGATACAACGTATCGCCCACACTGCCAGGGCTTTCCTATACCTTTTCGGAGTATAGGAAATCCTCAACTAAGTGGATCCACTAAGTTATGCTTAAAAGCAATAAGGAATCAGCTAAAATATATGAATTCTTTACCAATGTTGGCATACATGGTTTATGAGGATTTTGACTTATCTGAACTCATCCCCATATTGGTGCTCAATACTACTCCCAATAATATATAACTCATGCCCATATCCTTAAACACATAGATCATCCTCAATTTGAGATAATTACTCAAAAGATTCTCTTAAAAGAGCTAATACTCAAAAACTCCTCGTGAACTTATTTGGAAATCAAGGCTCTCTCTCATTTTAAAAGTAAAAGTGTTTACACTTGGGAATACTTAATTTCCTTAATACTCATTTGAAATATGCACTCAGCTCTCCTCATCCTCTTACCCATTCACTCAAGTCTGAAAACAAGTTTTAGAAGATTGTAAAAGACTTCTCTAAATGACTAAATAAGGTTTCTCGAACTTTACTCTTAATCTTTACTTTAATTTGAAATGAAGTTTTAAGAGTTAATATTACGATATATAGGACCTCTGAATGATTTATGAAGACTTATATAGTTAGTATAGAAAATAGAGCGAAGACACGACTTGAAAGAACTCATACGGGATGAAGAACGGAGAAAAAAAGGGCCTGACGACCCTGGTGTGTTGTTGGTGCCAAACTACTCAAGGTAGTTTCGAGCGCACTGCTAGCGTGGAGTGCTAGGCCCATAACTACTAAAAAGTAGTTTGGGAGCATTGCTGTCGCTGCGTTCAACCCCCTACCCAGATTTTTGACGAATTTTTCTTTCCTCATTTAAGGCCTAACTCATCTAGAATCAATTGGTTTACTCCCAAACTTGTTTAGATTTGCAAACCCAAAAGAAATCAATGAAAACCCACTCAAATTACATGAAGAACACCACTCATTCGCAAAACTCTCACCTCAAGAACTCAACAAGATTCCAGAGTTAAAGAATGAAGCAAAACCTCAAGGATTCCTCAAGAACCTTAATATACACAATCTCATGGTCAAATTTATAATTGAAAACTCAAGATTGGCATGAGGGTGAAAAAACCCAATACTATGAAAACTTGCATACCGCGACAGAGCTAAGTTCTTGGGGAAAATCCTCAAAGTTTGCAAGAATCTTGAACGTTCTTCTGTTTCTCCTCTTGAACTTCTCTCTAAAAAAACCATATGATCTTTTGGAATGAATAAAATTGATTCCAATTAGTTTAGACCCCTAAAACGGTGAAGATATGTTTTAGGCTAGTAAGATAAGGAAAAGACCAAAATACCCCTCCTTAAAACGGATGAATCTCCCAAACTAGACCGATTGCATTCAAACAAGCATATCTCCTTCATCCAACTTAGAATTTCGCAAACTTAGTGGAACTGGAAAGAGGACTCAATGACCTTAAATTTAATACTTGATGGGCCACCTAACTCATCATGTGCTGAAAGTTATGGTCGTTTGAAGTTGATCCAAAACTAACCATTGAAGAGTAACTTGTACGAATCTCAATTTAACTCTTTCAAAGTCCGAGGTGTTACATTCTTCTCATCCATTTAAGAAATAGCCTCTTCCGGATTCAATAAAAGTATCTCAACACATAAGTTCTTAATCATTAGAAAATACTCGGCGATACAAAAATTAGCTTGAGTGGCGTCAACCAATTCATTCTCTAATTTGTAGTCGTGCTTCATTCTTCTTATTGAAAAATTGATCGAGGGCCCTCAATATTTCATGAGCTAATTTACACCTTATAACATGATCAAATAAAATGGAGGAGATTGACCTCTGCAAAATGAACTCCGCATTTGCATTAACCTGCTTCCACTTCTCTTATGCACCACTATTTTCTGGTACATCATTGGAAGGACTTGTGTTACTCCCATTAAAAACATTCCACAAATCCTTTCCTGCAAGGTATGATTCTCTACATGTCTTTCATACCTTATAATTGAACTAATTCAAAAACTGCATCCCAATCCATTAGCGTGACTGCTTAAATCCATCTACACAAACTAAGTGAATCTACCAGCAGCCCGATCTTGTAATGACACCAAGAAGCCAACGTATGGTTATGGATCTGATACCATGTAGAGAATAGCAAAAGAAAAGTATAATTCGAAAAGCCTCCTGCTAGCCCAAGATCATTAACTAAGATGGGAAGATTCAACTAAAGAAAAGGAACTTAGAAGGGAGAAAGATTATTTTGGATATGAGAACTTGATTATGAAAGAAGAATCTTTGATTTAGGTTGTTCTGGGCTTTTTATAAATGTACAAGACCAACCATATTTATACTTTTTTAATGGATGGTTCTAGAAACTCTTCTAGATACATCTACAAAAATAATTCTAGCGAACTCTATCTTATACTCTAGACTATCTAGATATTTCTTTCAATAAATTATTCAAGATTCTACACTAGAAAAATTCTATAAGCTAACTAGAAAAATCTATGATATTTCAAAAACTAAACTCTATCTTTTCAGAAAAAAAACTCTCAGGTATTATCCCATGCATACAATCCTATATATTCCAACCTTAGAGTTGTCAATTGAGAACAAACCTGTCGAGGAGAGCTGAAAGAGATATTCACATATATAAGACCAATTCTCTTAATTTGGTCAAGTTTTGAAGGAGCGATTTAAAATCATGTGTCGTGAGTCTTATCTTCTTTAAGTGTGTAGAGATATGGCACCTGGGCATAACTCAACCCCAAAAGCTAGCTCATGAGGGGAGGATTTCCCAAGTCCATATAAGGAGACCACCAGTCCACTCTCCAACTAATGTGGGTCTTTTACCGACTCTAACACCCCCCTTCACACCCATGCCCGATTGGAGCGTGGACCGTGAGCCCAAACGGGGATGGACCTGGCTATAATACCACATAAAAATATGACACCTTGGCCTAACTAAACTACAAAGGCTAGTTCATGAGGGGAGAATTTCCCAAGTCAATAAAATGAGACCATTAGTCCACTCCCCAACCAATGTGGAACTTTATAGAGCTGCTTTTATATGAGCTACTTACTTCAAGGGCAGACGGAGAAGAAATCCGTCTTTATGCTATCTCTAGTCATCGTGAGCAAGAGGATTCGCCAGATGTTGTCACTGGTATGATCCAAGTCTTCAATTTTGATGTTATTCCTGAGTAAGTTAGTGAACCATTCGGTGTTTCTACACCTGTTGGTGAGTCTATTCTAGCAGATAGAGTCTATCGTGATTGTCTCGTTTCCATCAATCACAATAGTACCATGGTTGACTTAATTGAGTTAGACATGGTAGATTTTGATGTAATTCTAGGTATGGACTAGCTTCATGCCTGTTATGCATCAATAAATTGTAAAACTCGAATAGTCAAGTTCTAGTTTCCAAATGATCCAGGCTTAGAGTGGAAAACAGTTCAGCAGTACCTAAGGGTCATTTTATTTCGACCTTAAGGCCAGAAAGTTAGTTTCCAAAGGGTGTGTCTGTCACTTAGTCCGAGTTAATGACTCTAGTGTTGAGATACCTTCTATTTAGCCAGTTTCAGTAATAAAAGAGTTTCCAGAAGTATTTCTAGATGATCTACCTGGAGTCCCTCCTGAGAGAGAGATAGACTTTGATATAGATGTTCTTCCAGATACTCGTCCAATCTCTATTCCGCCATATAGAATGGCACCAACAGAGTTAAAAGATATTTTAGAGAAAGGTTTCATAAGTGTCTCAACTTGGGGCGCTCCGGTCTTATTTCTGAGAAAGAAAGATGGTTCCCTTAGGGTGTGTATAGATTACCGCCAATGGAACAAGGTAACCATCAAGAATAAGTATCCTCTTCTGAGAATTGATGATCTTTTCAATCAGCTTCAGGGTACTTCTTATTTTTCAAAATTAGACCTTAGATTTGGCTACCATTAGTTGAAAGTAAGGGAATGTGATATTCCTAAGACGACATTCAGGACCCATTATGGTCATTATGAGTTTCTAGTAATGTTATTTGGTTTAACTAATGCACCTGCAGTGGTCATGGACCTTATGAATAGAGTTTTCAAACCTTATTTAGATATGTTTGTTATCGTCTTCATTGATGACATACTAATCTATTCAAGGAATGAAGACGATCATGCAAGCCATCTCAGAATAGTTCTTCAGACTTTGAAAGATTAGGAGTTATATGCTAAGTTCTCTAAATGTGAGTTTTGGCTTGAGTTTGTGGCGTTCTTGGGCCACATAGTTTCCGGTGATGGAATTAGAGTTGATACCCAAAAGATAGAGGCAGTGCAGAATTGGCCTAGACCCACATCTCCAACTACTATTAGGAGTTTCTTGGGTTTGGCTGGCTATTATAGAAGTTTATAGAGGGTTTCTCATCCATTTCGTCTCCTTTGACCAAGTTGACTCAGAAAACAGTGAAGTTTCAATGGTCTAAAGCTTGTGAAAAAAGCATTCAATAATTGAAAAAGAGGTTGACTACTACCCTAGTGTTGACCGTACCAGAAGGTACGCAAGACTTTGTTGTGTATTGTGATGTGTCTAGAGTTGTTTTGGGTTGTGTGCTAATGAAGAATGGCAAAGTTATAGCTTGTGCCTTCAGAAAGTTGAAAATCCATGAGAAGAATTACCCAACCTATGACTTAGAGTTGGCTGCTGTAGCATTTCCTTTGAAGATATGACGTCATTATTTGTATGGTGTTCATGTTGATGTATTCATTCATCACAAGAGTCTTCAAAATGTGTTTACTAAGAAAGAGATTAATCGCAGACAAATGAGGTGATTAAAATTACTCAAGGATTATGACATGAGTATTCTTTACCACCCAGGTAAGGCTAATGTTGTTGCTGATGCTTTAAGCAGGTTGTCTATGGGTAGTACCGCCCATGTTGAGGAAGAAAAGAGAGAGCAAGCAAAATATGTGCATAGACTTGCATGCTTAGGAGTCCGACTGATGGATTCCACAGAAAAAAAGAGTAGTGGTGATAAATGAAGTGAATCTTCATTTGTATCAGAAGTGAAAAAAAAGCAAGACCAAGATCCTATTTTTCTTGAATTGAAGGCAAATGTTCATAAGAAAAAAGTATTAGTTTTTGAACATGGGGGAGATGGCGTATTGAGATATCAAGGTAGATTGTGTGTATCAATGGTGGATGGACTCCAAGAAAGGATCATGGAGGAAGCTCATAGCTCCAGATATTCCATTCATCCGGGTTCCACAAAGATGTATCGCAATTTGAGAGAAGTATATTGTTGGAGTAGCATGTAAAAGGGCATTGCAGAATTTGTTGCTAAGTGTCCGAATTGCCAACAAGTTAAAGTAGAGCATCAAAGGCCCGGTGGTTTGGCCCACAATATAGAACTTCCGAAATGGAAGTGGGAGATGATTAATATGGATTTTATCACAGGTTTACCAAGGTCTCGCAGGCAACATGATTCCATTTGGGTGATTGTCAATAGAATGACAAAATCAGCCCACTTTTTACCGGTGAAGACTACCCATTCAACAAAAGATTATGCTAAGCTATATATTCAAGAAGTGGTAAGACTTCATGGGGTTCTGGTATCCATTATTTCAGACAGAGGTGCGTAATTTACTGTATAGTTTTGGAAGTTATTCAAAAAAGTCTTGGGTTCAAAAGTGAACTTACGTACTGCCTTTCACCCTCAGACAGATGGGCAAGCAGAGAGTACTATTCATACCTTGGAGTAGGATATGTTGAGGGCATATGTGATTGATTTCAAAGGTAATTGGGATGATCACCTACCTCTCATCGAGATTGCTTACAACAATAGCTACCACTCCAGCATCCAGTTGTCTCCCTATGAGGTTTTTTATGGGATAAGATTCATATCTCCTATTAGATGGTTTGAAGTTGGTGAAGCTGGGTTGATAGGACCAGATCTAGTTCATCAAGCCATGGAAAAGGTGAAAGTGATTCAAGAGAGGTTGAACACGGCGCAGAGTCGCATAAATCCTACACTGATGTTAGGAGAAGAGAGTTAGAGTTTGAAGTTTATAATAGGGTGTATTTAAAGGTTTCACGCATGATGGGCGTTATGAGATTTGGTAAGAAGGGGAAGCTTAGTCCCCGGTATATTGGACCTTATCGAATAGCCAAGAGGATTGGCAAAGTAGCTTATGAGTTAGAGCTACCACAAGAGTTAGCAGCGGTTCATCCGGTATTTCACGTCTCTATTTTGAAGAAGTGCATGGGTGATCCTTCATTGGTCATACCAACTGAAGATATTGGGATCAAGGATAACTTATCTTATTAGGAGATTTCTGTCCAGATTCTAGATCACCAAATTGGCAAGCTGAGGACTAAGGAAGTAGCATCAGTTAAAGTCCTCTGGAGGAACCAATTTGTTAAGGAAGCTACTTGGGAAGTTGAGGAGGACTTGAAGAAGAGATATCCACATCTCTTCGAATCCGGAGAAGTTCCAAATCAAGGTACTAATCCTTTTCTTGGCATTTTATTTATAAATTGGCATTTAGTTTGCTTTGCTTGTTGGGTGTTTGAAATGTATGACTGATATTACACCCTTAGCCTAGTAAGAGTAATCTCATTCGAGGATTAATCTTTCCAAGAGGGATATATTGTAACATCTCGCAAATTGAAATAACTAGGAAAGAGTTAAAAGTTGGGGAAATAATCATTTTTGGAAAGTATATGAAAATCTGGAAAATTGTGAAGTACGTTAGTTGAATTTTTGGTCAAATTAGAACGGCCATAACTCCTAGCTCATGATGATTTAGGTATATTTCAAGATATGGTTGGAAATTTCTTGGAATAAACTTTCCAACGCCGCTGAGTTTGCGTGATTCCAAATTGGTATGATTGAGTTATTCCCTTTGGAAGTTGGGTTGTTTGAATAAGGAAAGTCTAATCCGGATTTTGAAAGGGTAATTTAGTCTTTTCCTTACCTAATTATTCTAATTCGTTTTTAGAAGTTAATTGGGGGGTAAAAACAGATTTTAGTCAGTTTAGAAAAGTTGAAGTTTTATGCTAGGGCTTGGAGAAAAGAGAAAAGAGGAGAAGGGAGAAGGGAAATCAAGATTCATCAAAATCGTCGAGTTTAACTTGTGGATTTCGTCAATGGGTGATCCCTATGAGTTATGTGAGATCACATAGCGTAGGATTAGTTCACCCACGCGCCAACCATGATTCAATTCAGCGAATTTAAGTCTTTGAAAGTTTAGAAATTGAGTTCTTGATGAACATTGTCGAAAGTTTTGTTTGAATTTCTTGTGGGTTCTGTTGTTGGAGTTTCTTGTGAGTTGATTCATGTTTCTAGGTGTAATTTTTATTTAATTCGATCATATATTGAGGTTATACATGATTCTAAGTGTTTGGGGAAGGAACCATTGAAGTTTAGAGATGAAAAACGGAGAGGAAAAGTCTCCAAACAACTAGGGATAGGGGTGAGAGGCACTGAATCTTCACCCTTGGTGCGCCGCGCCAGCCAGCACTCCCCAGACTGGTCTCTGAATATTGAGGGTTGGCGCCTCGCGCCTCTCATAGCGTCAGGGACGCCAATTCTCCCCATTTATTACCCACCTTTCCGTACTTGTTCCCTATCAATGTACCGATGTTTCTTAGTTGATTCCAACATTATTAGGTACATTTAAATATCATGAAATTATCCATAAACATGATATCATGAACCCTGAATCCATAATCCAATTCAAGGAAAATTAGGATCAAAGTTAAGAGAAGTTAAAAGTCAAGTCTACAAGTTAAGAAGCAAGTCAATGTTAGAAAAAAACTACTTAAGAAACTGATTTGAAGAATAAAAATAGAGTGACCTTATGAAATTCCAGCTATGTATTAATTTGCATACAAGAAAAAACCTAACCATTTCCTATCTAATAGGCACTTACAAAGTGGATGTTAAAACTAAATAAGAGCATGTGCCACTAACAACCATAAAAGGGGCCACTAACAGCCATTAAAGGGGCCACTAACTTCAGAAAGTTGAACAACTAAAGTTGACAATGTCTAGCTAGAAAATAGGAAGCACTAAACTGAAATAAGTAAAAAATAGTAAAAATAATAAGCTGGAAAAATGCCAATTGTCTAACACTCCTCCTTGGCATTTTTGTGGCAAACACCAATTCGTTGCCTCAAATCTTCAAACCTTTTCTTTGGCAATGACTTAGTAAAAATGTCAGCTAGCTGGTTCTCAGATGAACAATCAAAAAGCAACACTTCATTAGATTGTTGGACTTTTCTAATAAAATGAAACTTGATCTTGATATGCTTAGTTCGACCATGAAACACTGGATTTTTTTAGATTGAAACTGCTGAATTGTTGTCACACATGATCTTGGTAGCTTTTGTTTGTTCACGACCCAAGTCCTATAACACCTTCCTTAGCCAAATAGCTTGATTCACAGCAGATGCAGCGGCTATGTACTCAACTTCTGCTGTTGATTGAGCTGTAGTTTCTTGTTTCCTAGAACTCCAACTAAAACAACTTGTCCCCAAACAAAAAAGATATCCAGAGGTGCTTCTGGAATCATCAACTCCACCACCCCAATCACTATTAGAGTACCCGATTAGGTTCATAGTTACTTTGGCAGATGTTGGGAAAAAGGTTCCAAACTTGATGGTTCCTTTAATATACCTTAACACTCTTTTAGCCGATGTGAAGTGTGTGTCTCTAGGCGAATGCATGAGCCTAGAGAGCAAACTTACAACAAGTAGAATGTTAGGTCTGCTTGCGGTTAGATATAGAAGACTACAAATTAAGCTTCTATACATACTATCATCTACTTTTTCGGAATCCTCATCCTTGCCACGCTTTACACCAGTAGAGATTGGAGTACTCATAGGTTAGCATTCTTGCATTTTGAACATGTTTAGAATATCCGAAATGTATTTCTGCTGGCATATGAAAATTCCATCACTGGACTGCAACACTTCCATGCCAAGAAAGTACTTCATGACTCCAAGATCAGTCATTTCAAAGATTTTCTCCATTTCATCCTTGAACCTATGGATTAGTTCAATTTTGCTTCCTGTCACAAGCATGTCATCCACATAAATTGAGATAATTAAGGACTCACCTGCAGTGATTTTCACATACAGAGTAGCTTCACTTTGACTTCTACTAAAGCCAAGTTGGATGAGATGATTGTCCATCCTCTCATACCATGCCCTTGGGGCTTGTTTTAGGCTATACAAGGCCTTCGTTAAGAGATAAACTTGATCCTCTTTTCTAGGAATTGAGAAACCATCAGGTTGCTCTACATAGATCTCTTCAGCAAGCAAACCATTCAAAAAAGCCGATTTGACATCAAGTTTATGAATCTGCCGGGAACTATGAGATGCAAATGCAAGAATAAGCTTGATTGTGTCATACCTTGCTACAGGAGCAAATGTTTCCTGGTAATCTACACCATATTGTTGTGCGTATCCCTTCACCACTAATCTATCCTTATGTTTGCAAATTGTAACATCAGGATTGAGTTTTGTCTTGAAAATCCATTTTACACCAATCACCTTGCGATTTCTAGGTCTGTCAACAAACTGCCAGGTTCCGTTCTTCTCGATCATGTCTAGTTCATCTTGCATAGCTCTCCTCCATGTCTGAGAGTCTTGTGCTTCATCATAGCTTATTGGTTAAGAGGTAACCAAGTTACACCGCTGATAGAGATCTATTAAGGATCGAGTTCCCCTCACTGGTACATCATCCACTAGTTCATCTTCTGAAAGTTGAGGCTGCTCTTTTGAAAATAAATTAGAATAAGAGGTCTTCTGGTTTTTCCAATCCCAACCAGCTGCTTCATCAAACTTCACTTCTCGGCTGAGAGTTAGTTTTTCTAATTTCAAATAGAAAATCCTGTAACCTTTGGATGAACTATAGCCTATAAATATGCCTTTATGAGCCTTGTTGTCCAGCTTAGTCCTCTTTGTTTCTGGAACTCGATAATAACATATACCCATAAATATGCCTTTATGAGCCTTGTTGTCTAGCGTAGTCCTCTTTGTTTCTGGAACTCGATAATAATATATACACCCAAAGATTCTGAGATGGTGTACTGATGGTTTGTTCCCACACCAAGCTTCATATGGAGTCATGCCCTGCAAGGCCTTAGTAGGTAATCTGTTAAGCAAATATACAGAGGTATTGACTGCCTCCGCCCAAAACTGATTTGGGATCTTTCTTTCGAGCAAAAGACATCTGGCCATCTCCATTACTGTCCTGTTCTTCCTTTCAGACACGCCGTTTTGTTGTGGAGTATATGGTAATGTCAATTGGCGTTAAATACCTGTGCTATTACAAAACTCCACAAACTGAGAAGAAGTATATTCTCCTCCATTGTCAGACCTTAAAGCCTTAATACTAAGATTACATTGATTTTCTACTAAAGCTTTAAATTGTTTAAAAACATCAAAGACTTCACTCTTCAGTCTAATCAAATAAACCCAACACATTCTAGTGTAGTCATCAATAAAGAGGAGAAAGTATTTGTTACCACTCAATGATTCTGTTTTCATTGGGCCGCAAACATCTGAATGAATGAGCTGAAGTTTCTGGTTAGCTCTCCATACTTGATTTGCTTGAAATGGCATTTTTGTTTGCTTTCCCTGTTGGAAAGTTTCACAAACTTGAGCATTAGAAAGAAATTCAGGCATATTTTCCACCAGCTCCTTCTTTTTCATCTCTGTGATGCTTCTCAGATTGAAGTGACCAAACCTTTTGTGTCATAGGTTTGTACATGTTTGTGAAGTAATAGTGTAAGCCTGCTCAGTAATTTTCTCCCAATCAACTGAATACATTTTGTTGCTCATCTTGACAAAAAATAATTCTACTCCAGAAGGGTCAGAAACAACACATTGAATGAATGAGCTGAAGTTTCTGGTTAGCTCTCCATACTTGATTTGCTTGAAATGGCAATTTTGTTTGCTTTCCCTGTTGGCAAGTTTCACAAACTTCAGCATTAGAAAGAAATTCAGGCATATTTTCCACTAGCTCCTTCTTTTTCATCTCTGCGATGCTTCTCAGATTAAAGTGACCAAACCTTATGTGCCATAGGTTTGTACATGTTTGTGAAGTAATAGAGTATGCCTGCTCAATTATTTTCTCCCAATCAACTGAAAACATTATGTTGCTCATCTTGACATAAAATAATTCTACTCCAGAAGGGTCAGAAACAACACATTCACGATTCTTAAATGCAGAGAATAATTATTTTCAAGCATTTGTCCAACACTCAACAAATTTTGACTCATATCAGGTGTGTACAAAACATCAAGAATAATTTTGATACCTTATATTGTTGAGATAGACATTGTACCTCTGCCTTTGACTTCTACTGCCTCACCGTTTCCCACGTTTACTTTAGATTTGTATGTATCATCGAGGAATTTGAATATTTCAGCATCATTGCACAAGTGATGTGTGCAACCACTATCAAGAAGCTATGAATCAGAGGATTCATTGATTGAAAAGTATGAAACTGCAAGAGTTGCTCCTCATGTGCATCTGCAGCTTCTGCTACTTGTGCTTGCAAAGCACCAGAGGCCTTTTGCTCTTGATTTGCAGACCTTGGATATGTGCCCCGTCTACTTATAGTTGCCGCATATAGCATCGACCCTCTCCCAACATTACTTCTCTAGATGTGTAGTTCTTTTACAATGTTTGCACGGAGGGAACTTCTGCTTCACATCTCCACTATTATTTCCTCCATCATGCTTGCCCTTATTCTTTTGGTTGACCTGTTGCTTTCCTTTACCAAATATTTGTTTTTGTACAGAGAAAGCTCCTTCAGTGAACTTGACTCATCTCATAGTCCTCCTTTGCTCTTGTGCTTGAAAAGCACTCATTAGTTCACCTAATGAATGTTTGCCCAGGTCTTTGGATTCTTCAAGAGAGGAAATCTCAGATTCAAACCTCTCAGGAAGAATCACAAGAACTTTCTCCACAATTTGTTTGTCTATAAATTCTTCACCAAGAAGTCTAATGTTATTAACAATTAGGGAGATTCGATCAGCATACTTACTGATTGTTTTATCGTCCTGTATATTCAAGCACTCGAACTCTCTTTCAAGTTCAACACTTGCATTTGACGTGTTCTATCACTGGCTCGATATTCTTCTTTCAACCTATCCCAAGCCTTTTTTGCTGTTTTTCAAGCCATGATTCTGTAAAACACAGAATCTGCCAAAACATTCTGCATAAGGGACTTGGCATTAGATTTATTTGCCTTCTCTTCATTGCTGGATTTGATTTGAGCCAAGGTAGGATTTGCTACTAGAGCAGCAAGTGGTTTATCTTCCGTCGCAGTTTCCCAAAGTTCATATGCTTCCAGAAAAGCTTGCATCTTCACAGACCAGATTTGGTAATTTTCACCGGTAAAAGTGAATGGTGGATTTAAAGGTAGGTTGTTGGATGCCATTTGTGTTGTAGGTTAAAACTTTTTGGTCCTGTAAGATCAACTAGAGGCTCTGATGTCACTGTTAGAACAAAAATACTCAAGAAACTGATTTGAAGAATAAAAATAGAGTGAACTTATGAAATTCCAGCTATGTATTAATTTGCGTAAGATCTGAATTTATACAAGAAAAAACCTAACCATTTCCTATCTAGTAGCCACTTACAAAGTGCATGTTAAAACTAAATAAGAGCATGTGCCACTAACAACCATAAAAGGGGCCACTAACTTCAGAAAGTTGAACAACTAAAGTTGACTAAGTCTAGCTAGAAAATAGGAAGCACTAAACTGAAATAAGTAAAAAACAGTAAAAATAATAAGCTGGAAAAAATGCCAATTGTCTAACAGTCAAGAGAAGTTTATAAAGTTTTTCTTAAGTCTTTCACAAACGTTTTAACTTTGTTTTAAGACTTAAGTTTCAAGTTAAGCAAAGAGTAAAGAGTTAAGTTCATTTCTCAAAGAGTTATAAGGGAACTAAGTATTCCCAACTGTTTAAAAATGTTTTCACATTTGAGCAAGAAAGGGAACACCGATTCCAAGAGAGCTTTTAAACTAAGTTTTGAGTAATTATCTCAAACCCAAGAAAGAAGTTTGTTGTAAAACATATGAGCTAAGTATATTTTGGGAGTAGTATTGAGCACCGATATGGGGATGCAAGTTCATATTAACTCAAGACTCCATAAACCATGTAGCCATCATGGGTACTAAAAGATCATACTTTTTAGATGATTCCTTAAGATGCTTTTAGCATAGACTAGTGGATCCACTTAGTTAAGTGTTCTATATGACGGCAAAGTATAGGGCAATTCTAGCAGTGTGGGCAAGACGATGTATTACCACTTAGGCTCATAGTGGTGGTTGTCGGTTAGAGAAACTCCCACAGAAACTATATTACTTTTTTATATGAGTAAAGTTGAGTTTGTTATTGCATTTTCTTTAACGAACTAAGTTGTTTTTTTACTGTTTTATAAAGCTTTTTATATATTGCATGTGCTTCATTGCTTTGTTATGAGATAAGTCATTCATGAGTTGAGAAGAGCCAAGGTAAGTGTTTCTTTCAGAATCTTTTCAAGCCTATGTTATGTTTAGCATTCTAACTCGCATACTCGTACATTCAATGTACTGATGCCAGTTGGTCTGCATCTTATTATGATGCAGACGCAGGTAACCAGGATCAACATCCAGCACCTCGTTGATCCAGTTGAGCATTCAGAGTCAGTTGGTGAGCCTTCTTACATTCTGGAGGACTCTTTTTATCATTTGCTTTCAGTGTTTCTTTGTTAGGATCATCGGGGGTCTTGTCCCGACTTCCCTCTTTGCTTTAGAGGCTTCATAGAAAGTCAGACAGTTAGTAGTTCAGGTGTTTTTAAATTTTCATTTCATATGTTAGGA